TTTTTCTCCTCTCTCTTTTCAGTGCTTATACCACTAGATAAGGGATCCCCTGGTGGCTCAGCAGTGAAGAATCTGTCTGCAATGCGGGAGATAGAGGTTTGATCCCTGAGTCAGGAAGATCCCCTAGAGGAGGAAATGGCAACCCACTCCAGTATCCTTGCCTGGGAAATCCCATGGACAGAGGAGCCTGGTGGGTTACAATCCATGGGGTCACGAAAGAGTCAGATGTGATTTAGCGACTAAACAACCACCACCACTGCTAGATGAAATTTTCTGGAAGCACCATTCTCAATATCCAAAGCCTTGATAAAGTTCCTTATTACTTCTAACTCCCTATTGTGTTCTAATGTAAAGCATTTCCATAGAGAGTACTTTCATATAGGTTTGAAATATACAGAATGTAGACCTGGTCATGACTGCATTTACCTGACTGGAGTAGAATCTTCCGATCTTACACCTGTGTTATTCTAACTCGTTTGTGGGGAAGGCTGATTCTCATTGATTTGCTTTCTAAGGAGTGCCAGCACTGGGATGATAAGCAGCTACTGTTAGTGACTCATTAAAGAGACTCTGGGAGCATAACTGCTTTCCATTCCTTTGCAATGCATCACCGTAGCTGATAGCTCCTACAGCTGGAGTTATGCTAATAATAGAATTAAGAGTCAAACTGAACATCTGTCTATAATGGCTGTGATGTGCTAAGTCCCTTTAGTCATGTCTAACTCTTTGCAAATGCTATGGACCATAGTCTGCCAGGCTCCTCTATCCATGGGATTCTCCAGGCAAGAATACTGGAGTGGGTTGCCATTTCCTTCTCCAGGGGATGTTCCCCATGTAAGGATCAAACCCACATCTCTTAAGTCTCCTGCACTGGCTATTTTTGTTGTTGCTGTTGTTAGCAAGTGGCTAACAGTACGTACAGTTGACTCCATATGAGGACGATGAGGGCAGCTTGCTAGAAGCTGGTAAAAGAACTAAGAGTTATATTTTTTTCTACTAATAGGAAAGGCTCGAGTCATTTTGGAAAAAATGAATGGTGACTTTCCAAGTGTTCTTCTGAGTGATGTGTAGTATATGAGACACATACAGTATTTCCTTTCTATTCATACTTAGTAAATTAATTCTTCTTTTGGTTCATACAACATTTTTATTTACTGAAGAAATCTAAATTATCACTTCAAAATGTAGTTCACATCAGAATGAAGGAGAGAATAAATCCTGTTCTTCTTTTTGAGTCTTGAAATGCAGTGTTTTACAATGAGTTTAGATAAAAATCTAAATTTGAGCTGAGATTTCATAAGATTTTTACTTATAAGAGAAGATTCACACAGAGTATTTAACTCTCTTTAAAAAATAATCCCCTATGCCATACACACTGAAAATATTAGAGTTAAAAACTATATGATCGTCTTTGACTTACTTAGGTCCATCTCTGCTGCTACTGTCTGCTACTATGTCCTAATGTTATTTTCTTCTATTACATGTTGAAAATCCATTTATTTTTACCCATTTTGACTACAGTGGTTCCAGTCTGAGTTCTTCAACCTTGCATTGTTACAACAATGCCCTGGCTGGCATCCAGACCCATGTGTCTTATCTTTCTAACTTACTCTGTACACGCTGACAGATAAAACACTGCTTTCATCAGGTCCTTTCTTGCACCACTTATCGAACAAGGTCTAAAATACTGATTCTGACATTTATGGCCCTCTACAAAATTACCCCGGGCTCCAGCTCACATGTTCAGAGCTTCAATCTATCCACTTTTCTGTGAACACATTTAATTGTTTTTGTTTGTTTTCCTTACCTCCGATGCTTAACTGATAGACTTGCTCTCATTTTCTATGCTTTTCTCCTTTCTATTTAATCTAATGTTATGGTACAAGTCAAGTCCCAGCTCATCCTTTAGATATTTCTTAAGCTCTTTATGTTCAAATGACTACTTTTGCAATGGATTGGTTTCCGTCTTTATCTCCTCCTTGTTAGGCGACGTTACCAGTGATCTCATTTCCCTATAAACGAATTAAGTTCCCTGGGCTGAACATCTTCATCCCTTCTTAACGCTCATGGCTCTTTCTACAGTCTTCTGAATGCAATCAGAGTCACAAGAGTGACTGGAACCAGAAAGTCTGAAGTATCAGGAAGGGGGAACAGCTTCTCCATAGTCTTTGCTCCGGAGAAGGCAATGGCACCCCCCTCCAGTCCTCTTGCCCGGAAAATCCCATGGATGGAGAAGCCTGGTGGGCTGCGGTCCACGGGGTCGCCAAGAGTCGGACACGACTGAAGCGACTTAGCAGCAGCAGCAGCAGCAGTCTTTGCTCACTGATGATAATTTTTACTACATCATCTTACAATTTAGTAAGATACTAATTTCTTACATTCTTATTTTAATTATTCAAAAGAGCACAATTTGGCATTTTTAAAAGTCTCAGGATAAGGGCAAAGATGGAAATAAAACAAGAGTCTGACGGGTCAATTGTGCAGAGTGCTGAAAACAGCCATGACCATCAACAAAAGAATTCTTTGCCTTTCTACCATTAATACAAGATATTTTTACACTCTTAACTCTCTCCATTTCATACTTCTGTAGGAATATAGGCTCTGAGGAAAAATAAAATCTTTATCAAGGCAACAAAGAAAAAGATTATCTTCAGACAGAAGTTAAAGGGGTTCTTCTAAGTATATGTATGCAGACATTACTTGTTATAATGAATAGTCAACTACGAAGAGGAATAAGCAGAGGTTTTCAGATTTGGAAATGAAAAGATCACTGGTAATCACCAAAAGAAATGTTTTATATGGACTGTGTCAATAAAAAACTAAAGACCCATGTTAATACTGTTGCTTTTATGCCTACAACGATCTATGCACACATTCATTAGACCATGATCTAACAGGAAGGGGGAAGGAGTTAGCATTTAATGAAGATCTACTCAGATGGTAAAGAATCTGCCTGCAATTTGTGGGAGATCTGGGTTGGATCCCTGGGTTGGGGAGATCCCCTGGAGCAGGGAAAGGCTACCCAGTCCAGCATTCTGGCCTGGAGAATTCCAAGGACTGTATAGTCCACGGGGTCGCAAAGAGTCGGACACGACTGAGCGACTTTCACTTTCACTATGTGCAAAGCACTGTAAGGATCATTACTTTCTCAGCCTCAGACAGAGGAAATGAATAAACCAAGGTTGTGCAGGCAAGTAAAAGAGTTCAAAACTAAAGCTGTTTCCAACCTGTACAGTTTTTACATCTTAGAATTCCCTCAGTGCCTACAAAAATATAGTTTTCAACTGTTTTACCTAAATTCATGTCACACTTTGATGGCAGGATATTATCTGTGTATAGATTGTAGGATACGAAAAAATTGTAACAGATCATTTGGTCCAGCCCTCTTTTCTTTTTCTTTCCCCGTCTAAATAAACTGAGACCTAGAAATGTAAAGGGATGAATAAAATTCACATTGTGTGAGTGAAAGAATTGGGACTAAAATTTAGGTTTCTTGATTCCTAAACGCATGCCTATTTTCATTATTAACTCTATGCAGGGTCCAGACTGTATGCAAATGTATGCTTGATTCAAGGGAAATTAGCAGGGCATGACAAGAAAGGCTTATATCACTCAATTTCTCACGAATGGTTTGAAATGGGGAGAAAGACTTTCAATTCTAAATACCTAAGTCTCTGAAACTGTGAAGGGAGAGAGTTATTTTTTAGCTGATGCTGATGGTAGAGGATACAGAATGAAAAATAAGTATTAAAACAAAATCCTGAAAATCACTAACTAGTTAATGTTAATTGTAAACTAAATGTTTCCAATGAAGCTTTCTAAAATGACTTTCAAAATAGAAGATTTTTACCAAAAATGATGCTATTTTTTTTTCAAATTAAAAAAAAAAGCAACCTTTACTCTGTAAAGAAAAGGGGTCCCAGATGAAATCAGCAAAAACTGGAATAAATTCTGTATGTTCACACTTTTGCAATATCATCAAATATATAACTACAAGTGAGGGTGCAAAACATGTTTTTATGAATTAAAGAGAGGTGGTTATGTATTCAATTACATATTCAAAGTACATTTTAAATATGTATCTGGAATTAAATGCTATAAGCAACACAAGTAAAAAGAATCATGTACTCTTTACAGAATGAATTTGCTACATGTATAAAGAACACTTTTCAAAGCTTGGAATGAAAGTATTATCCATAATATCTAGTAAATAATCATGGAAAGCTGGAAATATTTCCATATTTCATTTCTGCAAGATACCATGTTATCTAGCAGTGTCAACAGATTGCAGTCCACATATGGCAGGTTTTGAGTACATAAGTTTGCCATTTAAAAATCAGTACTAAATATGAACTGAATTGGGGGTAGCCATGACAATGACAAGAAAGTCATTGCTGAGAATTTCTGGGAAAGTTAACCAATTATATTACATTATATGCATGCACATACATAATGCATATGGGCAAAGATGTAAGAATCTTATTGATTGTTAAGGTGACAAGCAAAGTGTTACGGAATACCATGAGCCAAAAACTAATTACAAGAACAACAACAAAAACAAGCTGCACTGTACATTCTGACCATCTTTCAGATAAGCATGAATGGCAGTGTAATTAGAGGAGCTATGTTCGATCCCTGGGTTGGGAAGATCCCCTGGAGAAGAGGATGGCAACCCACTCCAGTATTCCTGCCTGGAGAATCCCATGGACAGAGGAACCTGGTGGGCTACAGTCCATGGGGTCACAAAGAGTCGGACACAAGTGAGCAACTAAAACAACAGCAATGACAAATGAACTACTAATGTCAAAGAACAAAAGACACAACTTAAAAAGAGAGGTCTCCATGTTCTGGTTTGTGGTAGAATGGATAGTAGCAGATTTTTATGTGCTCTGCTTGCTTAATGTGGCGTCAGAATAACAAACTCTACAGGCAAGCTAGTGGTTAAATTAGTGATGCTGGAGAAATGTGAAGCAAATCAACTGTGGAATGGGGCCTCCCACCTCTTGCCTGCCGTCCGGGCCCACAGCCCTCCTGCGCTCCAGGGCTGTCCTGTTGCACGCTCCAAGGGACAAGCTGGCACCTGCGCCATTTGTGAGTCTTCCACCTACATGGAAAGAACAGAAGCCGCATACAGAGAGAAGCAAAGATGCCGGAGAAATCATAGTGATACAGTGCCACGGAGCCATGACTTTGACCACTACAGAAAGGAATTTGACAATGCTTCAGTCCTATCCAAATTCAATTTAAACTTCATCAAAAAATTATAAAAAGCAGCACTAAATATAAAAGTAGTCTCTATGGCAGTGGAGACAAGGGTCCATCACTGTCAATTCCTACAGGAATGAACTCTACTGATAGTATTTAGCCTTTAAAAACTTCAAATTATTAAAAAAATTTTTTTAAGCTACATCATGAAGAATGTGGGATCTTAGTTTCCCATCCAGGGATCAAACCTGTGACCCCGCTCAGTGGAAACAGAGCCTTAACCACTGGACTACCAGAGAAGTGCCACATTTAGCCTTTTTAATGGTTAGGATTGCCAGCAAATGTAGCAGATAGTACCAGAAGTGATGTGCTTCATTTTAAAAAGGTATATTTTATTTTATAATCAAGTTGTACAACTGCATTCAAGACATGAGCCTTTTGTATAATGCTCTTTTGATTATCATCATAGGGGTAACCCAGAAGGTGCAATTTATAATGCACTTCACAAAAACAAATCTCCCAAATAAATAAGTTTGGGCTAATAGTTAAAGTCCATCATGTAACCATACAATTACATTGTCTGTCATCTAAGAATTAAATACAGATAAACTAAGATGACAAATTTGCCATCAATTTCATCTTAAATTATTTTGTGATCACATTCCATCAATTGATGCCGTAATATTTCATTTGTTGGCACTGCAAGTTTTGTCAGGACTGCAAGCTTTCACTACATCAAGCTTCAATTAGGTACGTCTTAAAAATAGTTACGGAAAAAAAAACTTTTCTCTAATAATTATCATGATGATGATATATATAGCTTCAATAGCTTTACTTTCCTTGAGGTGACCAGAAATGAAGAGAACAGACAACTTATTAATATCATTGATATAAAGATGTCATTTCCTGAGCCAGAATGCCAGCATTCATGAAGAACATGTGCTCTCTGGAGCTCAGGGGGAAAGGACTGCTTTGGCTATTTTTGAAAGCACATGTTTCATAATTATTAATCACTTTTCTGCATTTCCTATAGTTTATATCAACAAAAGAATTTTCCTCAAGCTCCCGAAGCTAAAAACAGAGCTTGGAAGTTTACACAAGTATCTGTGTCCCTGGAGATGATTTTGGCAGCAAAGCAGCTCTCTAAAAAAGGCAAGAGATGGTGCCCCCAGTCATAAACATCCTCAGTTCCACTGAGTCTGCGCATAGTGTTAGCTTCCTTTTCTTAACATCGGAAAGCGTAGGACCGGAAGTGTTTCAGTGCGTTGCTCACAAGGCTTTTCTTTCACCCCATTACCTGTAGCTCTGGCACGCTTGAGGGGCCTCGCAGGCCTTCTCTTCATAGAGTGGATCCGTGCAGTCCCTGCCTCCGTTCGCTGGCAGCTGAATGATGACCCGGTGCCGAGTCTGTTTCTTGATTCCGGAGTCCCCTGGAATGAAGCAGCTTTTTAACCTTTGTTCTCTGCACTGATAAAGAAATCTCCGAATACCAGCCTGTGTGAAGAAATTACATTGCCTCCAGCTACATGTCCTTTGACATCCCTGAATGAGAGGCCTCATAGAGTCATTTCCTCAATTCTCCCAAAGACTGCTTATATTGGAAGCCCAAGCAATTTATAATAAAGATGTGAAGAATGGAGAAAATAGTTCCATAGTCAGCTAGCCTTCCTAAGGCTCAGTTACAACGGGACTGCTCTGTCTTATGTTTCTTTCCCCTTGAGAAATATGACAGATCTAATTAATTTATTTTTCTCTCCCTTAAGTTTATTTTCATGCCATTTCATATATAGCCCTGTTTACCACATGGGACTCATACACATAATGAACCTTTCTTATGAGAATATATTCAATGTTTTATGTGAAATTCTATTTCTTGGCTATTCACTTAATTTGAAATGTATAACTCATAAATTATTCCGGTCATTCATTATTCATGTTAAACAATTTAAGATCTTTAATTCAGGTCACATCCTAAACATCTGAGCTGTAATTTCCTAGAGGCAGAATTTTTAGAGAAGCATTCAAAATAGTAATAATTATTGTAAGCAAATTACTCCAAATTATGTTAAAAGACAATGTATCTAATTAAGATTTACCTTAGATGAAGATATCAACTTAACAGTGTTACTGATATAAAGTTGTTCAGAATTTTTTAGTATGAGAAACAGGTGACATATATGACTGACAGCTTTGATAAAATAGATCTCAACTTACAATATATACATTTTAAGGATGAATAGTCATGTGTCATTTAATAGAGTTCCCCTGAAGCATTTACATTTTTTCATAAGACAATTAAATATTTGAGATGTAGACTACAAAAACAGAGACATTTAGAAGGGTCAGTAGCCCTTGACACAACGAAAGTTTAATCAGAAATGAAATGCTGCTGCTGCTAACTTGCTTCATTCGTGTCCAACTCTTCAAGACTCCAGGGACTGTAGCCCACCAGGCTCCTCCGTCCATGGGGTTTTCCAGGCAAGAATACTGGAGTGGGTTGCCATTTCCTTCTCCAGAAATGAAATGAAATATCCTTAAAGTCATTGTAGAAAAATATGATTTGATGATTAGAAGTTTCCAATAAATGGAACATCATTTTACATGGAGGCAGGGTTACCCCTCAACATGGTCTGGCTACTGATTCCCAGAAATGTGAATTGGAGATGCCTGTATTAGATAGGAGAATGGGTCAGATTAGGGAATCCTAAATGTTTGATGATGCAGGATAATTTCTTTGAAAAAAAAAAGAAAACTAAAAACATTTCTCGGCATGTACCTAGAACTAATAAATTAGAATTTTGGGGATCTGGATGTTGCGACACTGTGGATGTGGGAATCTGATTTTGACAAAGCTTGCTGGGAAATGGTGATAAACAGCTGAGTTTGAGATCTATTAGAAAAATTGACCCTGTATGTCCCAATTTAAGATTCTAGGGTTTGCATGTAGCTTTTTAGGATTTCTCCTATAGTGGGGGAAACTTGTACTATTAATGACTGTTTTAACTATTTTAGTGAACAACTGGAACACTATAGGTAATGACATAGGGAAATACGAGGTGGAGGTAGTGGGTAGTGGAGGTAGTGGGAAAATATTATCATAGGCTTTTAAAAATTGTAGCAATCATAGTCTGAATGTCAACTGCAACTTTTACATATTAAGTATAATTTATCTAAGAAAGATCTAAGGAGTGCCAATAGGACTCTTAATAAAATTGGCAATGCTATCTTCATCTATTATATTGTTCACTGCGCATTAGTTTTAGACCCAGGTGATAAATTCCTCTAATAATTTAGAGCTAGGAAAAATATTGCTTCCCTTCAAAATCTGTTAAGAACCCACTGTGCTTCAATTTCTTGCTTTATTCACCAGAATCTCAGAGTTAAATTTCTCAAGTACAGAAGCTTACCTCAACTTTGATTTTTACATTATAAATTCTCTTCTCCCTTCCCTCTAGCCTATTTACTACCTGACTCCATGCTTTTCTTTTTACACTATTATCTGTTACTTTCCTTATGTTTTATATTTATGATCTGTCTTTAATCTTTTTAAAAGACTGAATGAGCATTCGTATCATTTGTTTAGCACTGAGGGAAGGAGGAAGACATGTGTTTGTTTTTAACAGGGAAAAAGAGGGAAAGAGTACAGAGGGGTCTTTGTTTCCCGGGTGGTTGAAATTCTTGAGTCAGTAACTTTTTTTAAGTGGCTGATAAAAAACAGGCACAGAATTTAGGTCAAGGGATCTGGAGACTGAAGGGGAGAATGAGGTTAGCATCAGTGGTACCATTTACCTAGATATCACTTGGTATATACCCAGGGTGTTCAGATAGGAAGCAGCAATCAAATGTTAGTATTTCAATTCTAGTTTGTTTACTGACTTGAAAGCAAAAAGCCTCCTAATATAAAACTCTGAAACATTCTAGTGCCTTATCACCATCTGCACAAGCTTGTACTAGGTATATATAAGACTATGATAACTCTTTTTCACTTCCATAATTGATTCCACAATGGTAATCCATTTATTCTTATAAAAAGTTCAAATACCTTAAACTTGTGCAGGCCACAGGGTAGGGATTGTGACCTGATTAAAATGGAACATTCCAAAGCCATAACACCTAGAGAGGAAGTTTAATGGAGCTACACAGAAAGTGTTACGACATCCACGTTTCTATGAACTAGGAGATTCATTTCTTCTCAGCTCTCAGTTAATGAATTACTTATACACGCAACGAAACAGCACTGTAGAGCTCAGGCCAGCTATAGAGCCCTCAGATCAGAGTGCAAGGGGAGAGCTACAGCACATGTTCAAAAAAATTTAATAAATAAAAATGGAAGCTTCCCTACCAATTACTTGAGTTAGTACATGTGGAACTTGAAAAGTTCATAGTTCAGTTCAGTTCATTGTATTTGAGTAAAGTCTTAATAAATGTTTGCTGAATGAGCAAACACATTCATTTCACTTCTTTTCAACCGGATTATAAGTTAACATCTTCTGTTCTTTTTTATCCATTTCCTTATAGAATTATTCATATGGGTACTAAGTCTGTTCTTTAGTTTTAATTAAAAAAAAACAAGTATCACTTTCATTGGAGATAATGAACATGAGAAAAATAAAGGAATATTCCTGTAGTGTTTATACTTGAAAATACCTGCCTAGGATAGGTAGAGAAAAAAGGGATAACCTAGTTATGTGGTAATGGGCCACAGAGACTCAGAGGATATATAATCTCTCACTCAGCTACACACTTTTCAGTTATCTTAAGACATTCAAGGTAAATTTCACTGGAGAAGTTTCTTGATAGAAGGATTTAAGGGGCAGGCAAAACCAAGCTGGGTTAAGCTGGAAGTGAGGTAGATGCCAGGTGGGGCAGCACAGGGATAAGAAATTGAAAGGGAAACATTTCATGCAAAAAGTAAAATGTAAAAGCAGTTTTGAGCCCATCGGGGGTAATTCTAGAAGAGTACAGCCTGAGAGCATCAGAGTAGAAAAGGTGCCTCTGCAACATCCCTTCCAGCCCTCAAGTCAATAAATGTAGTAAGAAAAAAAAAAAAGAAGCAAACAGATTTTGAGCAGTCAAGTGCATTATTTGATCAAAAGTATTGATTTTTTAAGATGAGTTACAAACAATTTATATGCATAAATGTTTTCCATCTTTAATAAAGCTCTTTGTAAAGAAAATTTGGAAAAGTTAACAAGTACACTGGTTTGAGGATTAAACTACTCTCTACTCAATACTGATGTTTATCAACACTGATTTTTCAAGACGTTATCATTAGCGAGGGGTTTCCTTGGTGGTTCAGGTGGTAAAGAATCTGTCTGCAATGCGGAAGACTTGGGTCCAATCTCTGGGTTGGGAAGAGAGAGAAGGGAACCCACTCTAGTGTTCTTGCCAGAAGAATTCCATGGACAGAGGCTACAGTGCATGGGGTCACAAAGAATCAGATACTACTGAGTGATTAACACACACCCACATACCCACACACATTTCAAACTACTCTGTTCTTTCTTGAACCCTAAGCTACTCTGCTCTTTCTTTCTGCAATACTATACTATAATGTTACTTATCTAAAGTGATTTAAAAAGGAGGCTAGCGCCCCATTTTCATAAGTTCAAGACTCTTATAAAATGTAAATTTTACCTATAGAATTAAATTTCAAAGAAAAACCCCATTCCTGAATTACTTTTCTTTTGCTATTATCTATCTTTGAACATTCAACTTTTTAAACATTTATAAATTGTTATGTGGAAGTCAGAGTAATTTCAATGGAGCTTGCCTCATTCCTATTTCATATCAAATAATGAAAAGCTAACGACATGTCATTGCTTTATTTTCCCTGCAACAAAAGACAAGTTTTCTATAAAACCATTGTATCTTTATTCTCAGTTACAGCAGTCTACAGGCAAAACAGAAAGGCTTCTCCCAGCGGACAAAGCATCTTGGCACTGTTGTTCAATGGCAACCTCCTCTGCCACCCACTGGTGTTTCGTTTTTCCCTCAATACACAATTATAGTTATTCTTTTTAAGTCTGAGTGTCTAGGTTTAGATTTCTGAAAGCCTTTTGTTCTTGGAGACGCCATAGAGAGCTGCCAAACAGAAGAGGCAGAGCTCACCTGCTGGTGGTGAGATGGTCTGAGCTTGGCCAAACACAGTCCCACCTCTCGGAACCTCTTTCTCACAGAATAGCAGATCCCTGAACTGGCATTCTTGCGCTCCTTGGCCACTGCCACCTAAGAGCTCCAGAGGAGACCGGTATTGTAGTGGCTCCACGCATTTTACTTTACAGCAGTTAGTACCTTCTGCTGAGACACCATCCCAAATAAACATCTCACGTGCTTGTCACTCACCCTGACAAACTAGCAGTTCTGATTCCCCCTGCATGTCTTCCATCATCACCTGTATCACAGCATAATGCTGTGCACAACCTAATTC